TTTAGCTAGCGTTTAGCACGCAGCTACCACCTAGCTCCATCGTTGAGCCTTTGTGATGATGCATTTCCGAATATATTAGTGATAACTGTTCGCTTGGTGATCTTTTCGCGACGTGTTCAGACTGTGTTCTTAGCAGCTCTCGCCTTCTTATCCTCATTGAATGTTTAAGGTCGTAGCGTTGCCTGTTCTATGTGCTCTAATGGCGTCGGATCTGTCAGGATGCAGCTCCGACTCGACAACCACCACTCTTAGACGTAATATTCAAGTGAAGGATTGTGATCGTTTAGAAAGTATTTCGTTCTACGCTGATGTTTCTGATCATTTGTTGTGTCTCAGCTACTGCAGGAGCTCAAGTGACTACGCAGGCTGCGTTGCGCACTACTACTCGGAGCCTCATCACTACAACCACCACGACGGAGCCAAGGAATACCACTGTCAACTGCATGAACGGCGATTACTATTGTCAAGTGATGTCTGGTGATTCAAATAGTTACTGCAGATATTATGGTCCTAATGGCGGCCTGTGCCAAGGACTCAACATTCAATGCAGCTGTAATGAGATGCCAACGACCACCAGAGCACTTCAGCCGGCTACCCTCTCCAGTGAAGAGGCGCCGGCAAGTGGCCCGAAAGGTTCCACTACTGGGGACGGGAGTGCTCAACTGTTGGGCCGCAACATGGACTGAACTTTTACTGAAATCAGCCGAGATCCGGTCGTTTTAGTATATGCAATTCGTCAATATCAGCGGTAAGGGTGAGTAACAGGTCCAGTGAAGATGTCAAGTATAGAATTTCGTTCCTGCTCCACGGCGAGCCCACAGTGTTCTCCTATATTGTGGTCTTTTTTATTATTTGTGGCTGTTGCCATACTCTAGAGTTTTTTCCGTTGAGTCTGTGATAGTTGTGTTTCAAAGGAGTTTACTTTCGGGGTGTGATAGAAATTTCTCTCTTGAGTTTGGTGTTGCATGCTGCTGACAACGAAAGAATAGTTGATGTACGCATGTAGATTCCGGCTGATAGTGTCAGTCGATCTCGACCATCAAAGTTAATGCCCCTTTTCAATTTAAAGTCTATCGAGCTCCGCGCTGAAACCAATGGGTTATCGAATTGGGATGGGTATCGATGGGTGCAGAGACTGAGGATTGACCGAATCACTGTAAACGCGATAAAGAGTCGAACCGACGAAGCTTCGGTAAGAATGATACAAGTAAGTATGATGAATAGTAGACGTGAGATTACTGGTAACCAAAAGAGAGTTCGCCTCGGAAGCGATGGAACCCCAAATCATTACTATCAGAAACACAGGGCATCGGTAAATACTAGCCTGAAGAAGATGGCGAACTTCGGCCACCGCTCTCTGAGGGCACAGACGAACCCCCGTCTAGCTGCTGCTTCCGAAGCCGTCCTCGACCACGCGGTATAGGTACAAACTCCATCGTCGGTCCCGGAATAAATTCAACAGACTCAGTGTCCGAGTCACTGATTGTGCTCGATAGATGGGTACCCGACAAGCATCCACCACCGCTCTCAGTGGGGCTGTTCAGAACGCTACTGCCACCTTCGGGTAGCGATCGACTATAGTACGACTCAGAATGATCCCGTAGAGAGGAAAACGGACTGTTTGAACGCGAGGGCACCGGCAAAAAGAGGGAAGTTTGACTCCCCATTGAAGTCCAGTCGCAGTCAGTATCCGCTTGGACGGAAGCTGCCGTGTTGGTATCAGCAGTGCCGACGCGTGAAGATATAGTCATGACCGGAACCCTGTGGAACCCCTCCACAACATCACGAACATAGATTCGACAAGGGTCCTGACTTATCGGCTTGGGTCGTTTCCTCATAACTTTTCCCTCACCCCACCAGTAGGTATACAGACGGCAGACACAAGAGAGGGCTAAGCCGATGAGTCGAGGGAGACTTATGCCCCAGGCGATAACATCGATGGCTGCCAGCGCCACTTCACTCGCTGAGTCTTCACCAATAGGAGCTGGACCGTTGTTGTTCGGGTGAGCAATCCAGTAACTATAGGCAACTACGGGCGTGATGTTGAGCATCGTCCCACATACGACCATCCATGAGCGCATCTCCATACGCCTGGCCTGAGTCTCTGTGGTCGCCGGATCGTTTGGATAAGCACCCGGAGTACCCCAGGGAAGTATATCACTTTGGCATATACAGTAGAGACCAGATCCAAGTACTAAAGTCGTTGGTAATAGACAGAACCATTGGAACCAGCACAAGGAAAATATGAGGATATCATCTAGACTACCAGAGATCATAGGTGTTACGATGTATGGGGCGATCACTATGCACCAGGCGATTAGATTGACTCGGGGCTCGTACAGTATAACACGTACCATGAAAAAGGCAATAGAGAGTACCCATAGGAAGCCCACTATAACTGCAACGAACATATAGGCGTACTGTATGCCTTTAGATAGGCCTCGGCATCCGATGGACAACTGGATAAGGACTGTGAATAGAGCTGTCAATAGGATTGCAAGGGGTATTCGGGCCCATGGCAGGCTTATGGACAACGGTGCGACTATAATACTAGTGAGGACAGCCACGGAGAAAATGCTGATCATACAGGTAGCAAGTCTCGGGATGATGATGAAAGGGAAAGAGAGTACACCACGCCATGACCATGAGAATCGTCGCAGGCCTGTATATAGGTTCATCAGAGACATGTAAAATGTGGCAGATGAACGTCGCGACATCACAATCAAATCACAGAAGCTGAACTCTTCAGCAGAGCCCGAGACGAACTTCTCGCTCAAGCGTGAGCCTTGGGTTCGACAACCAATGAGCATATCAACTCTGTAGCCGGGGGCAGCGGCAAGAGAGAGCACTCGGTCGTCCGAGACGTAGAGGTTGCATCGGAAGGGACCGTAGGGCCCTCTATTGCCAGTCTTTGTCAAGGAGACGAAATAACGATCTGTTTGAACTCGGTCCAATCTTAAGGCGCACATAGCGACATTGACACGCGTGGAGTTGCCACCCAAGGCGGTCTCCGAGCTGCCGTCGAGCAGATCGTCGATTCGCCGTTGCATGAGGAAGCCAGCTAATGCTGGGTTCAGAGTCATAAGGTGAGGAGCCGGGGCCACTGGTATCTGATGGTCACTGTCCGAAATGGTGTCACCAGAGACTATGGCAACAGAGTCAAGACTGAGGACGTCACTGAAGCGGAGGAGGGCCGATGGGATTGGGCAGATGCCACAGTCAAGCAACACGACTTGGAGATCATCCGACTCGCTCACGGTGGCGAAGTGACGTGCTATGCCCTCGAGGGCCCAGAGATGACACTCAGGGCGTCGACTTATAGTAGGACCTGAGATGAAAAGACTACCCTACTGATTGAGGGGATGAACGACGCCTTACTTGCTGAGCTGATGCCTGCAAATTCCTTAACGCAGGTCATCATCTGTAGTGGTGGGAATGAATCTCCTCCCAATTGAACCACCGTCTCGAACACATGCATATAGACAGGTTGGCCATGATCGACCGTCAAGGACCCCAAGGCCCTCGCCTCTCGGTCCTCGACAAAAAGCCTCTTACAGCGATCCATAGCAGCGCCGTCCTTCCAAAGACTATCAACATTGTAATATAAACCCATATGCTGGAGCTCGGACAAAAGACTCCGAGGCCCTTCAGGAGCGTCAATGCTGAACTCTCGTCGACCATCTATGACCGCGCACACGACAAAGTCGTTCCATACAAAGTTACCGCGGTCGCAGCAGTCCTTAATGCATTCCATAAGGGAGAACAAGGTGGACGTGAAGCCAGTGATGTTAGATCCTTGAATGTAGCTAGCGACCGTGATAGTAATCATCACCTTAACCTTCTGCTCAGGGCTCGACACAAACCGCAGTCGGAAGCTACCCTCTTGCACCTTGCCGTGGAAGAATCGACGGTAGAAATCAGTATCGAACATGTTGGCGATGGGCCTCGGATAGGATATGCCCAGTTCCTTGTAGTCAACGTTATAGTGGCGAACAAGCTCCTCAGACCTGATGGTGATCGGTGAGTAGCGCAAGAACACGAAGGGGTTTTCCGGAGGACACCCGTCAAAGTCAATGTCGACATAAGAACGATAATCCACTAGGGTCGGATGGATAGCAGGATGAACACCAAATGGGCGGCCATCTCCAGAAGGAGTGGTAGGGAACGTGCCTTCACTCCCACCATGATCCTCACTATAGGGCTCGGCATCAGAGGGCATCATTGACCAACAGCTACACGAAACAGACAAATACCGTGGGCGAGTCTACAACGCAAAACGAAGAGTGGGTAAATGTGGCGTTAAAGTAAGTTATTGAATTCTACTGATCAAAATACTATCATGAAGTGGGGAGGCTTGTCTCTTCCTCGGACACGGCACAAAGACCGGATTCTTAACCTTCACTTCATCTTCCTTGCTCTCCTCATTCTCCGGATATGAAAAATCTTCCGGAAAGTCGGGCATGGCCGCACCGTCGACTGTGGCAGTGATCTCTGCAGCTCGTCGGCCACCAACAAGACCAAGGATACTCTTCGAGTAAGGCTGCATAGGTTGTGATAGGAGCACCCCAGCTGAGCTGATGAGTACTATGCCTCTTTCGGACTCATAAAAAGAGTACAATCCTCGAGGAAACGACGGTATACTACTAGATGGTGGACTCGCTGCTGTCGTATCAGAATAATCAGACAGCCACCTGGGCACTGCATTTCTCTGAGAACTCCAACTGTCGTATACTCGTTTTATAGCATATAAGGTAACCCCAATAATTCGCACTGACGCTCGTAGGAGGGCATCACCGACAATGGCCCAAGCGACCACGTTAGTGATTGGTGTCAACTTCAGCCTATTAAAGTCGTCGTCATCATCATCATCTGGCAGAAACATCCTCGAGAACTCATTACGGTGGATGAACACGACGTATAGTATAATTGGTACAAGGTTCAAGGCGCTGATAGAAGCCACTAGCCACGATCGACTCTCCATCCGAATAGCCAGGGTCTCGGCCGTTCTGGGGTCTACAGGGTCGGGACCAGGAGTACCCCAAGGCAATACATCCGATAGACTCATGCTGTATATAGTTGATCCTAGTACTGACATAGTCGGATAGAGGAACGCCCATTGCAGTATACATAGCGGTAGGATCTTGAACGTGAAGCGCAAGTCGGCATATAGTAGAATACACCAAACATAGGAGAATAACACCGCTATGACTGCTCCTAATATTAGATAATACTGACCGTAGATGAGGTTGTATATTAGCTTGATCCACCCTAGGCTCCATAGGACCCCCAGAAACACTGAGCTCGTTCGGAATACGAACAGAACTGGGGGTGTGAGGTCACCAACGCCCACACAGAGCTGGAACATGACCACCGAGTAGAGCAGTAGAACACAGGCCAGTGGCACCATGCCGTCCACAGTGAAGAACTCTGCCCCCAGGAGGATTATGAAGCCCATCCCCACCAGTGCGACTAGGGACAGACAAAAATCGATAAACCGATAGATGAGGAGTAGAGCGTGGAGGAACGAGGAGCGACTGAATGGGCGAAATCTCTCCCATGCAGTAGACATACGCCGCATCGCCTGGAAAATAGCCGATACATCGAGCCTTGAAGATTCGATAAGGTTCTTATAGGAGAACTTCTTAACATCCCGAAGGACCGACTCTCTACGCAACGATGGACACACGACTTTGGCGTTGGCCAGGAGCTCTGATTTCCATCCGGTGGTGACCGAGCTGAGCATAGTCCCTCCATCACTGATATGCATATTGACGCCCATGAAGCCCAACTGGGAACAGTTACCAGCTTTGGTGAGAATAGTGAAGTATCTATCGAGATCAAGGGCGTCGAGGCGGAAGCCACAGAGCGAGCCCTCCATCATCGACAGGGAACCTCCTAGACCCGTTTCCATCGCCGCATCACATATTAGACGTAGACGTTGACGGAACAGCCAAGCGCAGAATGAAGGGTTACGGAGCATAGAAGAGACCGTGGGGTATCCCAGAAGCTGTAGGCTCCCCGTTGCGCATGTATCAGTTGAGACCACACCCACCATAGGCTTACTGAGCCTAGCCAACATAACGCTGAGACAATCATCCGCTGGGCACATGCCGCAGTCCATAAGTATGATGGGCAGACCACCACCATCACTAGAGAATTTCGAGGGAGTCGACATATTACTCAAGTGCCGAGCAACTCCCATAATGGCCCATAGATGACAAGACAGTCGTGACGTTATGAGCGCACCTAAACGAGCATGGATCAGGAAGCATGACTAGGCTCTCTCCCAACTCACCAGCGGAGCCTTGGTCCGGTGACTCCTTAACACAAAGGGCGATACGCACTGGCGGGAAGTGCCCTCCCAACATCATGATAGTAGCCTCATAGAGATGCATGTGGACAGGTAGACCGCCGTCTACTGTCAATAGCCCTTCATCGTAAGAAAGACGATCCTCCAGATTGATCCTCCCAGCCTTCTCCATCTCTCCATCTTCTTCCCATAACTCTCCTGGACGATGGTACACCCCCATTTTCTCCAGTTCCCCCAACACTGACGTCGAACCGTCCCTCTCTAACCTCTCGAACTCCTCACGACCATTCACTACGATGCACAATACAACCCTATCCCATTTCACTTTCCCAGACTCTTCCAAATTTGCCAAGTTCGCCATCACCGCTCGTAAAGTGGCGTTGAAGCCTTCTGCCGTGGAGCCCTGCATTCCGCTGCCTACCGAAACCACCAAGAGGACATCCACCTTGTCGTGGGGTCCGTCAATAAACTTCATGCGGAATAGTGGTATGTCAGTAGCGCCCTGCTGCCCAAAGTAGTTCGAGTAGTGCTCGGCATGGAATAACTCCTCGATGCCTCTCGTGTCCAAGTAAAAACACTCACTGTCAACATTGTAATGAAGGATGAGCTCCTCCTCATTGATAGTAATAGGTGTGTACCGGACCACTCGGCTATAGCTGAGGATAGGTGGTCGTAGATCCACGTAAGACCGGAATTTAGGGTTGGCAACGTCGATACGTGGATGGCGAACTGGTCGCAAATCACCGGGCTCCTCTACAATACCACTCCATTGGTTTCGTATCATTGCTGGTAGAAGAAACTGAGAGAGAATATGAACTGCAGAGCAGCAGACTCGTGCGAAAGATGTGATGCCAGTGTCCAGATGAATGGTGGTTTGCTAGAGGTTGACTGGCACAAAAAGTGTTTGCCAAAAGGCATACTATCGCATAGAGTCCCGCAGAAGTGAGCACTGCAGAAATAACACCCCTCCCCGGGAAACGACGCTTTCACATGCCCTGCACAATCCACGCATACGTGCAGGAACGTCTCCCCCGCAGAGACTCCGCGTCACCAAATCTTGGAAAGTGCCATTCGTGAATCGATTTTTGAGCGGAGCGAGGCAAAGTCAAGACCGCCAACGGCGAGTAATGTTGCTCGTCGCTAGTGCTGATTTTGGAGTCCCCTTTATCATCAGACGTCCCTAAACTCACGTGCCTAACTTAATACGCTTCTGGAAATATACTGTGGAACGGAACTCTGTGAGCCACTGTAAGGCGGCTGTAGGGAAGCTCGTCAGTGATCAGCCTACCGGGTGGCCTCGGGCTGAGTATTTACATTGCTTAGCTTGGAGAGCACTGTTGTGAATTCAATTTTCATCAGTTATATCCTCTCGTCTCCTAGTGATGTCCACAGGTAACACCCGAAAGCGGCCGTAGTAGTGAACAGGCTTGGTAGATAACTGTTGTGTTTCAGAAGTATCTGCCGCCCAGATGGCCGTTGCCGAGATGCGCGGTCTTGCCGACACTTTCTCCCGTCTCACTGAAGCCTGTTATAAGAAGTGCATCCCGAATGTGAAGGAGGGCCAGCTCAACGTGGGGGAAATGAGTTGTACTGATAGGTACTTTACTCGCGCGTTGAGAGTTCTTGTTAGATGCCTGTTCTCAGGTGCGTGTCGAAATACTTAGATGTCCACACTCTAGTCGGTACTGAACTGAACAACATAACTCAACAAGCCCAGCAAGGCTCGGCACAACAGTAAAGTTACTAACTGGCAGTTTTCCGTCGAATTACCAGTAACTGTTTCATTGCGCGCTCATGCGAACCCTTTTGGGTTACTCAGTTCATAGGGTCAGGATCGGGTGGTTTCTTGCGAAAGGGGTGGTTGGAGGGTCGTTGATAAAGCGGGCATGTGCAGCAGTCAATTACTCACTGGTAAATTACCAGTGGTAATGAGTGAGTTGGCCGAGCCTCGTAGCACGGCTCATGCCAACAGTTCGGGAGGATCTCCCGAGCTGATAGTGATGACTACATCTCCCGAAGGGGGTCGATATTGGGTGCTTCTACCACCTTCTTGGTTCGGGTGGCCCTTTTTAGGACGGCAGTGGGTACCAGTTAACCATCGAACGGTAGGTGTTTCTCATCGAGCCAATTCAAATTGGCTGCCGGAAGACATTATGGGCATCACCGATGCGTCCATCGTCACCGCATCAAGTAAGTCCCCAATGAGAATTCCCCATGCCCCTCGGTCCACAGAGTATGTGTCCTTGGCAGCATAGTCTTGGTGGGCATGCTGCAAATGTTCACTGATAACCGAGGAGTGGAGGTCAGGTAGTAGAGGGGATATGGGTCATACACTCTATATATGGCGCGTCCTTGGTTAAATTAAACTCCTCAGCTTTCAAATAAATCGGGTATAACATTAATTTCCTTGGGATTTTATCGAAGCCATGGGAAAAATGTTAACGAAAGAGATAAACCATAAACCAATTGGTTAAAAATTAAATTTGTCGGTTAAAATTTATTCTGGCCTAGAAACGTTGCAGTTCATAGTCGAGCAACCGGTTCTAATTGTACCTATATGTCGTGACGGCATATACGTACAGTTAGAACCGGTCGACATTGCAGAATGGACGAGATTATCGTCCATTCGAGGACCTCGAATGGACGATTGCGAAGCTTCTCTCTTGCCCAGGATGCTGTAATTTCCTTAGCTCGTTCCTGTTCCAGTAAAACTCATACTGTTGAGTTGCTTAGTTCGGGTACTGGGCGTTTGGTGCCTTGAGAAAGTCATGCTCGTCCTAACGGCAACATTTGCTCGTTTGGAGGACATGAGCTTGCCTAAGTTTTTCCACCTTGCTAGGATGTCTACAGCTCGCTGTCTGGCTACTTTCACCATATTGCTGAAAACGTTGCTCAAATGACGGAAAGACTACTGGATACATTCCTGTGCCATTACATTCATGTGTACTATGTGCTCGTGGCGAGCAAGGGTTCACGGACAGATGTCGTACAAAGGCAGCTGCTCCATTCAGTATGCTCGTTTTACTCCATAACTGATTACGAAGTTGCGATGAGAAACGCTCTGCAGAACGTTTGGGAAGCCGAGTCAGATAAGATTCAAGGCTGCTACTGGCACTTGTGCAGGTTATGGGTTGGAAAAATTGCTGATATTACGGCTCAGTAATATATGGCACCGGAGAGGGCTTGGTGTGAAGAGAGCAAATGGTTGCATCGGTTGTGTGGGTTGCCTTGCCTTACACTCGACGAATCCTTACGTGCCTGGCAAAATCGTAGAAGACAACCCCGCAGTCCTCTGACGTAGCGGAGCTTATAGACTACCTCAACGCCACGTACATGGATCCCGACTCACCTTTCCACCGGAACAGAGTTGCCGATCTCCAGTAACTTGTTGCGGATGCTTCTCAGCGAACTAGTAATCCAGCTAAGGGGCTCCATAACTTCATCAACCTTCCCTTCCGTGGAAGACATCGCAATGTGGATGATTTCGCGAGCGTTTGTGCCGCATCTATATTCATTTTCCTTCTACCCATCGCTTGAGTTCAACTGGCTTGTGTGTAGTAGGGACTCCCTACTAGGGAGTGCTCACTAGTAGTGAGTCACTACACTGTTTCCAACTTTCCAAGCTGTATAATGTTGGTCGCAACCGCCGATCCGCAAAATGTTCCTTCGCTCCGCTAGTTTTGTGGCGCGTGACATTTCTTCCGATGCGCGTCGTATACCGCGATCTGAGGAGGACTGAAGGTACTTCGGGATCGAACTCGCTCACTCCCTATACACTCTCCGTTTCGATCAGCATAACGTTGGTGATTAGTGTGTCTTAGGATATGGTATCCCCAAGAGCTCCTAAGAGGCCGAGGTCAGGCACGGAAGTGCTCGATGATGCATCATCTGATGATGATGGCCTCGATGGCCTTATGGGTACTATTTTCCATTTCCGCTCTAGCGTTGATAAAGCAATAGAACGACTCCATGACTTCGGCTGAGAGACTTGGGGACTTCTATTAATGGTTGATGGTTCTATACAAGGATGTGTTTGCGTATTGTAGGCCTAGCATTTGATGATGAGTTCGCCGTAGGGCTCGATGGAGTAGGAGAGGATGAATCACTGTCGGAGGAGGACTCCAGCAGCGCTGTGGAGGACACCATCTCGCCAGAGGTAGCGGAGGCTGCCACGGTTAGTGGCCATCCTCAGACTGCCTCAGGTGTTGTGGACGTCGCCACCTTTGCTCGATCGCCATACACTCTGCGTCGTGCGAGACGGAGGAGCTGAGCTTACCGTACCGATGACTTGGTACAAACAGCGCGACCCTGGAGATGCTTCTTCTTGCTCCAAAGAGTAGTGCCGAATCTATCCACATAGCTCTCTTATTATTACTCATAGAACCCCCGATTCCCCACATACGACTCCTAGTATCTTACCGCAAGCCATTCCGGAGGTAGTGAGCTCCTGTCTTTGGTTGTTGCTGAGGTGGGGGTTGTTCAGATTCCCTTGAACATCCCGGGTAAATTCGACCCACGCTTTATACAAGTGTGCGACCATAATGGTCGGAGTAGTCAATATCAACATTGGCTCCAACAAGGCTGCATATGGGAAAGCGGATTGATTTGCACTATGGATCAAGAGGTGCTGAATCATCACATGCATTTGTTTTTTTTCAAATTCGACTCTGGTGGAGCGATGCTGCGATCTCGGGGGTTGGGTCGATTGACACTCTTCTTTGTTGGGGTAGTACTCTCGTCCATCATGCTTGCAACCTAATTCGCCGAGAGCCGCCAGTGCTGCTGCAACTATAGGAGGTCCCTACAGTCCAAATGGGATACGCGCTAGTACTATGGGATCATGGTCATGGGTTAGATCTACGCTTCCAATGAGACTTAATGTTGAGCCCTCAACATCTGCATACACGGGCCTCTCAATCTTGCCAATCCTCTTTGTCCATCAGCGTCATCTCCGCGAAGCTCACGTGTTTCACAAGCCAATGTGGGTCGGGGAGAATCTACCTTGGCTCGGGCTCTAGCAGCGGTGAACACGGGAGGCTCGAGTGGCGGTCAGTCGAACCAGGCTATTACACAACATCTATTGTAGTAAAAGGTTTGGGGAGGCAGAGTCGCTCGGAGTGTTTATCCATGAAAGCTCATTGGTATAGCCTTCATTCAGGCAGCAGCTGAGAGCCGTGACTTCAGCAGCAACGGCAGCGGCCAAGAGAGCAGCCCATCCAGTACCGGTAGCTAGCAATGAGAAGGAGAAGTCTCAGCAGATGAGGCGAGAGTGGGATACGCAAGTGAACAAGTTTGGTACTGCTCTTTAACATCGCCGGCCTGTATCGTGTCATCGTAGGCAAGCAGCTTATGATAGCAATGGGATACAGAGGTCTCAATAGAGACAATCGACTCAGTGATTGGTGTGCATGGCTCGGTGTCAAACTCACATATATTGGTTTATCTAATAACAGTTACTCTAAGCTGCCAGGCGTGGTAATGCTACGTCGACTGCGGCAGTAGTAGCGAATATGTGTCGTTTTAGGTCCCAACTGGTGCGGTTGGTGATATCGATTTATGCGGTAATGGTTTGGAAGATGCCCACTTGCATGTCCTAGCGTCCACATTGAAGCCTTTCCATAGGCTTCGAGTCAAGGTAAGAGTACTCGAGCAGGGCCGGGAGTTATCGAGGAGTACTTAGGTGCTGAGATTGTCACAGAATAACATAACTGATGGAGGCCTCGAGCTACTGCTCTCTTATCCATACTTACAGGCAGTACACTTGGATGGGAATAAGTTGACAGGCGGTCAGGTAGTAGTGTCTGGGGTAGCTCTGCGCTGATGACGATCTTCATGTTAGCATCTACTGCACTTTATTGTGAATGCAGTAGCACAGCTAAGGGAGACCAGACACTCCCAGACCGATCTGGAGTGGCGTTCGTTGCCTCCACTGTGGATCAATCTAGACGGCAATTACATACAGGACTCGAGGGAGCTCATTCGGCATCTAACCGGGGAGCCTTACAGCCTTGTCGTTTGTCACCCAGAACGGACGGGCTGCGAACCGTAGCAAATATCTCTGCTGCTGCATAGGGTTGGTGAGTACTGCGTTCAGATCCTCCATGTGCCGAGTATACGGCGAGCACTGTGATGTCCATATTGAGTGTCTTGGCTGTCAACGGCCTATCGAAGATATCAAATATCACGAAAACGTTGGAACTACTGCAGATGGAGAGGTGGCGACTGTGATAGACACGATTTCGGCGGAGGTCGCTGATGTCGTTGATCTGGACGATTATGATTGATACCAATGAATATCATTAGTAGAATTGTGACATCTCAAAGTTTCAGTATCCTACTTGCAATAGCATTGTTGTACGATTATCAAGCTTTCCTAAATCTACGATGTGTTTGCTTGAGAGTAAGTGGGAATGTGAATGCAACAAGGTGCGGCAGTATTTAAGCTTATCGTGGAGATTGCTGAAGGGTGCAGTTGCATTACAATATGGGTCATGCATCGGTTAATACCGCCGAAGTCAAAGGACTTATGTTGAACAGGATTGGACGAGACATGCAGTGATAGATGACGATTCATAGCAACAGTCGCTTCAGGAGAAATGGGCGTGGCATGTTCACGCTCGTGCCTCAGCGCACTCGGCCGCGGCAACTTCCGATGGCACCTCAGTTAAGGTGGTTAACGGCACCGATCGAAACAGTAGACGGTTTACAGTTTGGTCTACTGTAGACCACCACCTCGAGAGATACTTGCTGCATTGGTACACTCACAAACCTTATGCATAATCATCTCCTCACTAATTTGGAAGCGAGTTTAGGATACGCCCAGCTTCCCCGGCTAACTGAGGCCTAGAGAGACCACTGAACATTAGGGTCGGTGTCACAAAACGATTGGGTTCTTCCACGAACTGGTTCCGCAATGGGCACTGATGCGCTAACTGGGCCGGCATCGCCGCCATGTACGTATCAGTTATGATCCGTAAACACTCCTTGGCCGCTCGGCAGCACTATGTAGTAGTGTTACTAGACTGCCCAAAGTAGTAGAGTCAAGGAAGTGCAGGGTAAATGATGCAACCCTTTTACACACGATGCAATCCATTCATAAGGTCAAAAACGAGAGCGGATTAAGCGATCAATTTAATCGAGAAATGCCAACCGCCACTCTTCGATGCCTCTCAGATTCGCCTTTCAAGTGTATCATGCTTCCTCTTAAGTGGTAAAGCCACTATAGAGGAGTCCAGGATGATAAATGTGTCATCAGAAGATGAGGTGAAGTGGCCCCCGAAAAATATGAACAACCCAAGACCGGGGGGAGTGGAAAGCTTCCGTTAATACCTCACAGTATCGTCAAAAGCCACGACTAGCTAGAGTATGCCTGGTCGCTTTGTGTGATCATCTTGTCTCCTCCAAAAAATAGTCCCAACAGTGATAAACGGTACGTGTTACAGCTGCTGTCGTATCCATGGTTAAAGTACTATAACCCGATCTGCCGAGATGTGTGCACTCGCAGCTGAGAAGGAACCCAGAGCCGACCCCGGTACACACACTTGTATGAAGCCACCCTTGACACGATCCAACTCAGCCGAGAGCTCCTCCAAATCGGTCTCGTCCTTTACATAGAAACCGACTCCCAAGGAAGGGTTGAGTTTAGTAGGCTGCAGCCTGGACGGCTCATCGCTGTTCTTGAAACTGATGGACTGTGCCTCTACCACTGCCGACTGGACAAAATGAGGATCGATGCTGAGGAGGTCCGTACGAGTCTGCCGATAGCCACTCCTCCCCCATGTGCTAGACTGTAGGTAAGTGTCCTTCTCAGCTACCCCCACGACGTAATGGGCCCTCGTAGACTGACCTCCAATAACACCAACACACCATGGAAGCTTCAAATAGTCACTCACGACTCTGGCGCTGTCAGCATCGACAACATCCCCGTCTGTGAGCCGGACGGGGAAAAGGATGAGTACGCCTTTGGACCACTCGTCGGCTGAGGTGTCCTCAATATCATCAACAACACTTGCTAATGAAGTCGGCGATGAAACACTCGGGCACTCATTGCGGGCCTCTCTACAGGGCATGCTGACGTCAGACCCATCGTGGGCAGCAGAGGGGCCAGCCGAAAAACCAACCATTACGAAGTGGCTCGGGCTGGAGATGTCTTCGCTGGTTTGACTACGCGTAAGAGAGGCGTCGCTAGGAGACAGCACCGCCCACTCGTGCCCTCGAGAGCCCAAGCTCCAGGAACGTCTACGACGACGATTAACGGAGGATCCAGAGGCCGACGAGGCGGGCGAAGCAGCTCCGCTCGCTCGTGGTGAAACCTCCATTTCAACCACTTCCATTGTGACCAGGCGATGGTCCGACCCTGAGCATCGGCGTCCAGCCGACAGGCCCTCACGTCCTCGGGTCTGAGCAGTCCATCGTGGTCGACATAAACAGCGAGCCCCAGATGGTCCATGTGCAGATGAGGTGATGGACACATCACACACTCTAGCTGGGCCGATCATCGACCTGGCTCGCTGTGGGCCATGAATGCATGAATGGAGAAAGGCCTATCTCGGCGGTCTTCGAATAGCCTGAGAGGCATAAGAGTCGGTGGACAAGGTGGAGACTAGCGACGACCACCTCAACAAATCCGTCTCGTCCACAGTTGTCCTGTCACGAGCATATGCATGGCTCTCCTCCTGCTGCTGCTGCTGCTGGTGGGCTCCACTTGAATGCACGAAGTCGATGACCTCGTCCGTGGACAGCAGTCGAATGGCTAAAAGTGACGGTAAGGATCATCTGGGTTGATGCGACTACTTGCGTCGAGTCCATGATGCCTCTTGAGGGCTACTAGTAGTAGCATCTGCGCCGATCTTATGGTGCAACCCCAGCCGGTATCGCAGTGGAACTCCAAGTGCTTGCTTTGGTTGTACAGAGGGGTCTCGAAGTTCTTGCGATATGTCATGCGCCGTATGCCCCGCCATACGGTGTAGAAGTCGGCAGTGGACCGAGACTGCCGGCCCAACAACCATGCGCGATTGTCTGGAAGCAGGGACAAGCTAGACATGTCAGAGGAGGAGGAAGATACGGAAACCTACCGGGGTCCCGGACGGTAACCGGCTCCGTCCCGTAAGCGTTGACCAGACGTTCTTGCAGGTTGTGGCCCCAGCCCTTCACAGTTGCCTTTGTATCACTAACAAACTGCTCCATAGTCACTGATGCAGCCCCGCTGGCCGAAGACACGAAGCCAAGACCAGCTGGGATGGTAGGGGGAGATGTGGGGGACGAGGAAGAGGAGGAGGACGAGGTGAGAGAGCTCACCAAGCCCCGCATCATTGACTAGGAAGCAAGTGGCTCTGTTGAGGGCTATAGTGTTGGATTCGGTAACATACACGAATTGAGCAAGAGCACGAAACGTTGTTCCTAAGGCCATGCTAGCCTAGTCGATAGTGATCCCTCTATGAGCCGCTGAAGTGCCTCCTCACTGGTCATCCCATGACTGGTTGATGATGATGATGCTGCTCGTTCGTGTTCTCTATGTGTCGCTAGCTTCCTAGAGAGCTTATCATAATCAACGAGGACGTGTTCGACTCTATTTTGCAAAAACCTGCTAACACTCCTCATAGGACTTATACGCCGCCACGACTACTACTCAATGCGGGATTCTAGGCGTTGCAGCCGCTGTTCTCTATGTGCTATGTCTCTAAGCCTTTGGGCTTCTCTGTCCTCCCTTTGAAGCCTCTTGAACATGTCGTGTTCCCTCTCCTTTTTCCTAGCAGCAAATGTCAGTGGGGGGAGGAAGGCTCTCTTCCTTGTATTACGCTGCTCGTCGATACTCACTCACTATTATAAGTGTGGTGACACCGAAAACGAATGACTCGCCAATAAAAGTGGCACCCCAGTCGAGGGCCGCTTCCTCCTTCAGAGGTGGTATCGCTCGCCTAGTCTTACTATTATCAGCTACCTGACGATGCCCAACCTCAAGTGAGGACCCACCCAGGGCCTATTACCCTGGTGATCCTACGGCTGACTATATTGAGGGCCTGACCTAAGGCAACAGTCTTCCCTCGCCAGAAGTCGTCAGTACGGGCCAGCGACTGGATACGACTCGACACTGGCTTGGCGAAGGTTTTCAATAGAGCACCTACGAGAGGTTACAGCTCGCGACGATGGAGTGGTCTCACCTCCAACTTTAGCTGCGGGGAAGATGGGTGACATAAGACGAGACAACGGAGCTTGGGAAGTCTATTTCCCTAATCCGAAAAGTTAGGAATGTAGCATTGTGCCCGTTGAGTAAGTGTAAGTGAGCAAGATTTTTACAGTAGAACCTGATGAAGACAACTCGAAGAACCCGCTTCACTACGGAGGGTGTGCTTTCCGGTGCCCGTAGGGTTGCCGAGTTCAAAGTAGCCATCGTTTCTTTTGATATATGAGCACGTGGGCTCAGTTGCGAAGTCGATGAGTGTCGAATTGAATTTTCGGCACTTCAGCACTTTTTAATGAATTTCCATTCCTGAATATTCGTCGATTATATCCTGATGAATTTTAATCTTAGCAAACAGCAGTATATATACGTATTTTATCATTCATGAATTTTACACTACACAATGCTAATGAATAGGATATAAGACGACGTCTTAAAGACGTGCGTATTAGTTTCTGTGAATGTTCATCTGGTTCTAGTCTACGATTAGTAGCCAAAGCGCAGGTTCTGCACGATTTCTAATACTGCTTTTTAAAACTATTATCAACTAGCCTTCGCATATGGGTGGTGATTATCTCAATATTTCCATCACGACGGTCATACCCCCAGTCTTATACAGTTGGAATACTATAACCTATGGCAAAGTGTCAGGAGCCTTCATGCCATTCCCTCTAGCAAGAATAACTGAAGCCATAGAACTCCGCAACGCCATCTAGCCCATTGGACAGAATATTGGGCTGATCGTTACACCCTTTGTGAACGGATGATAACGATGATATGCAAGTGAAGGAAGCTTCGCTTGAAGGCAACTCAGCCTTGTCCTCATACTGGTGCTCCATGGACGATATACCAACATCCGGGTTGGAATGGTTGTTCGGGAAGGAGCGAACTTCGTCGTCACCGATATGGTGTATATATACAGAGCGTCGATAGCCCATAGTGACGAACGGGGATTTTTCTCCTTACTTTCCGGATAAACGATCATAGTATGATCCCACGGAGTTTGACATAGGATATACGTCTCAAAACCGGTTGAAGACCAAAGCTCCTGGTACCCGATGGAATCAAAAATACAAGTCGAAAACAATGTAAAGGTTGAACGGATCCAAAACTTGGTCTGGAAGTGATCAGGTTCTGGATTAACTGAATATCCTCCGTCCGGCCAGTAGCTGTTGTCCAGATCAGCATTTTGCGGAGTGATCAACCGCCCTTCCTGCCTCTTCGCACGAGGAGAAGGTGGTTCGCAATTTCTAAAGGCTCCCGATGGAAATGTGCAACCCCCAACCTAGAGATTATAGGTGTTCTTCCCATCGTTAGTAAACATTCTGAGACCGTCTTTCGTAACGCTCAGTTTGAAGCAACCTTGAATGGGAAAGCATGAAGCGAAGCGGAAATGCTGGGAGGTGCAAGATTGCTAGAAGCAGTGTACCTCAATGTTCTGTGTCCTCTAGCTTAGATCCCAGTTGTTGCACTGGGCATCGGTTGTCACTATTAGTGGTTGAATTGTTATTGCATCAATATGTCTACTCCTTTTTCTTTTCTTTTTTTTTCTCTCTTTCTTCCTTCGTGTGGGAGAATTGCGCATCCGCTCAACTGTGGAAAACCTGCCATGACGGTGTAGGCGGCATGCTTTGCCCACAGTCTGATGCGTTCTCGCAGATCACGGTTCGTTTCATAGCCCAAGGGAGGGTGCTGTCGTGTTCGACAGTTGGGTGGGATATGTATGTGTCTCATCTGCAGAAGCAAAGTTGCAGTAGGGGAACAATTCAGGGTGTGATGATACTCATCCCTCCACTTCGCTCCGCCGACACAATTATGTGATAGTGGAGACAATAGTAGCTGGCGTCTAGCCTAGCTATTCTACCCCCTTCACTTGATGATTTCTATAAGTTAAGCTTACCATAAAGTTGGTTCTACTTGTGTTATCAATCCCTGAAGCTCAGGGACAAGGGCCTCCAGTGTGACTCATCACCTCTCATGCTCACATCGTCCTACTTTATACTGAGCATGTTGCTGCTAATAAGATTGTGCGTCATGATCCTGATTCATAGTCGAACATGATGCGTGAATAGATATTGCCACTTGCGTCGTGCGAAAAGAACACCGTCGCACAATAGTTTCCTGGCTTGATGGGAACGCTTACAATTCTTGCAAGAGCAACACTTGATGCGATGACAAGTAGAACAGATGATACCATCCTATTTACTCAAAACAGCAGCAAAAACCGAGATCAGGTGTCCTCTCTAGAGCATGAAATGGTCTCTTCAAGTCGAGAACCTCGACGATTGAGTAACACGTTCGAGGATATTTGATATGAACACAGATGAAGTCTGGTGATATCATCACCAGTCGGGTTGGAACTCAAGGAGATGTATTCGAAATCTTTCCAGCTATAACCAGAGAGTTCCACACGGAACGTCTCGTTAACACGATGCCATAGAGTCCATCTGAGACGGTGCTTCACTGTGACACCCGCACGCACTCACGGCTTGTCCTCGACACAACGGTATCTCCGTGTAGTCGTTACACTGGAGCGCCTTAGGCATGCTATTTAAAGATTATTCACAAGGGGCTTTGGCACAGGTTTCCAGTACCCCCTACTTAAAGCAGCTAGCAGCGACGAAGAGGGGAATGCTGTCGGTGATTGTGAGTTGCCCTTCCAGCAATGTGATTCCACATCCCATTCCTCAGGAGTGTTTTGTGCTGCCACCCCGTTTCACAGTGAGCAATAGATGTACGCGTGACTGCTGGGCATTCTCGTATTTGTGACGATGATCAGACCTCGCCCGTTGTATTTGTGCTCAGTCCTTGCAGCTGTTCCGAATATATTGGATGGTATCATCTGTTCTACTCGTCATCGCATCAAGTATTGCCTTTGCAAGATGCGCTAGCGTTCCCATCAAGCCAGGAAAGTACTGTGCCACGGCCCCAGTTAAAGGAGTTGGCAATGCATGCATCATCTTCGACTATGAGTCAGAGTCCAAGGCCCGCCTGACGTACAGGTTTTCTCTCCACACGATCAGCATTAAGTACAACGATGTAAGCATGAGTGGTAACGAGGTTATCTTGAAAAGGCGCGGTCACACTGAAGGCCCTGAGTTGTTCCCGTATTATAAAGTCGGCTTCACTCTAAACGTTACGGATGATGGCCTCAAGATGATCACTAAAGATGGGAAGAGCATTTACCATTTCAGCAGCGGAACCTGCACTGCAGCCGAAGGCTCAGGAAATTGTGGGGCCACATCGAACCAACAAAGGCGGTTGACTCCTCCTCAATATCCTAAGGACTCCGACATAAACGGAACTTACTGGGATAACCCAGAACCTGATCACTTCCAGACCAAGCTAGCGTTCTTTTGGTTCACTATCCTCCCATACGCTTCGGCAGTATTCTATGATTCCAGCAAGTACCAAGACCTCGTGGATTCTGCTTATTGGCAAACTTATCATGAATCTGGCGTAGATAGATATTATGCGACTATTCGTCTCGTGGGAGCAGATGATAATCTTGTGTCGTCACTATGGAGTATTCAAGCGGAGCTCCGATATTATTACGATTGGAACGAAGTGCATTTCGTCCCCTACAACAACTCCAATCCAACGAGGGTGTTGCTTCATCACCAGTGACATTTTCTCACAGGTCATTTTGGTCTTGCAGTCATCCTCAAGTCGTCGGTGAAGTCAGTCTCTGCGTCCTGCAACGCAGTTTCGAGCGTTGTTACAGGATGATGTCACGAAGTGTATACGTGCTTTGTTATCTTTTTGGTTGTATTGCACGATGATGCTAAGAGCTGCGAACGGTATCCTTAGTATTGTCTGTCCAAAGTGCGTAGTCCATTTTTAGCGATGTCCTATGTGTTCTACACAGTTCTGAACACAGGTTCTCTGCGCCTTGGATTTTCCTTTCTCCTCAAACGCAACTGAGCCACGCGACATCGTTGATAGTCATCTTACATCGTTTATGAGTTTTCAATATATACTAGCGCTGAGTTGGTAACCATTGGAGGAGCTTTTAGACTGCCTCTCGGAGACGGGTCCAGGGAAAACAGTGGAACTATCAGTCGTTTTACTGGAAGCGAGAGAACGGTGGTAGAAAGCCGTATGTGGTGGACGACCTCTCAGATCATCGTTTGGTAAACGACGTGTACTAGGAGACATCGGCATCTTCCACTCCTCAACATCTTTCATCGGTAGACCCGATATGAGCAACTCCAATTCGCGATCATCAAACGATATTCGGCGCAAAAAGTCACTCGGCACCTAGCCCGACAAATGCTGCTCGCCGGCGAGGAAGTATCCTACCAGCTCATTGAGCTGAGGGCGTACTGCTTGGGTCATTTTATAGAACGCGCCCCTTTATTGTAATTAATATGGCCCGACTGTTTTTTCAAGAGGTGGGATAAGTCCCGGTTCGTAGGACTTTGGAGGAACCACAAGCCCAGTCTTCCTCAAGATCACCAAGCGGGTGATGCTGGAGCTTCTGGACAGTAGATGATAATTTCGTGGCGCAGTGACGGTAGCTTATTGGGACTTGAAGTTATCCGAATCCTTTGACCGTGAGATCTCCACTGACACACACGATGCGGTTGGCATTTCGTGATCTGATATAAGCATACACACAGACACTGTGGCAGGACCTTAAGGCCCCGTATGATCTCCAAGATCCAAGCTAGTCGTATGGCAGCTCCTAAGAAAGCTGAGGTTATGCAAAAGCTGGACGGTCGAATATCAGGTGCGCCGAGGTGAGTAGACTTTAAGACGGTTCAGCTACCCCAGTATCTTTTTGGGATAAGTCGAGACCGTTCCGCTAAACAAGTAGTGAGGAAGACTACGACAGATGATGCTACCCTGACTCTGTGCCACGTGTTACAGAATGATGGAAGTTGTGTAACTTCCCCGGGACCTGGGTTTCGATGCTCCTTGTCCCTTGTAGTCTACGCAATTAAAGCCACGCATGAGCAAGCAGCATGAGCGGGATGTTTGATTGTTGACGAAGAGAGTGCCTTCTGGATATGCGAATGTGGCCAAGTGTTTTGCAACACTTGCCTCGCTGATGTAGTGATATCCACTGCCCGCAAAATAGTCAATACTGGGCGTCCTGTCGTCGAGTTATGCCCTCTTCAAGCTGGGGACATTCGTTTCGAGACCATGGATATGCTAGTCGAGAACGAAAATCGTAGGTGATGTTTTCACGTCCTATCTCCGAAATCAGTGGTTCGGCGGCAAGGCTTACTGGTATCAAGGATGTGGTAATCTCCCGCCTAGTATCCCGAGGAATAACTGCGCGATCGAAGGAGGGAATGATGGGGTTAAGAAAGGCAAGTTACATACCTGGAATCATCTCTCTTAGAGAGATTCATCCATCCCTCTATTAGAGAGACTCTCTAATAGAGAGATGGAAGAATACTGCCAAGATGAAGCGGCCACACAAACAACTGATAGCGGGAACTTCCAGCCTGGAAGGAGTGTGACATATATCGAATCGCATAAGGTCAAGTGCTCAACCCACTACCTTAAAGGCGATTGTGCCACTATGATAAGTCTAATAGAATGTCTATAGCGCTCTAGGCTAGAACTCCTAGCTGAGGGTCACAAATACCAGTGTCGGTTACTCAATCTCGATATCTCAGTTCGATCGCATGAGGTCAAGAACTTCACCCACTACGGTGAGTCTAATAGCTCTTGCGATGAAGTCTTGAAGAATAGAGGGAGTTGTTGGTGAAGTTATATACTTAACATAAGGCAATGAGCGTCACCTGTGTCTAATCCAACATTTATCCCGTGTTCCTGTATTTACGTAGAGCTACTAATGAACTGGCGAAGCTTTTCTATACAACAGATGGGGGAAATTAAGCCATATTCTGCCACACGTCTGTACGTACTTGAAACCACGTAGTCGCCACAATCATTCAGAACTAACGAATGATGAAGATCGACCATAGAGGGCGAACGATCGGAGTATTCCTGTCGTTAGTGGCAGCACTGCCCATTAACGAGAACAAGAGTCTTTACAAGCGAAACAAAACGAGACTAACTACTGCTAGCAACATTGTCAACAGTGGTGTACGCTATCGTAGGGGAATGTCGACGCACATAACACCTATGGATCAACCCACCAACGATTGATCCCAGCACAAACGCCCCGACTACAACAACAATTGAGACTTCGGGGAAATACTTCGAAGAGAGATCCGCACTATCAGTGGCGAATTGCGGAGTACTCGGAGCCAGAAAAGTAGTAGCCGACTCTGAAGCATCAGAACCCAATACGAGAACACGGCTGCCGAACTTGTAGTTGCCAGGAATAGTGTTCATGTTGAGAAAGTCAGTTTTTGAATAGAGTATGTCAAGAACCTCTTTGGGCTTACGAGGCACCTTAACGTCGGCAGAAATAGAGACGGCGCTTTGAGTTGTCTTGAGAACAGGTAGGAAATCATCAAGGGCGTTGCAGTAGGTTTTCTTACGACACACTCTCGGCATAGGGATGTCGCTTTTACACTGACACTCGAACTCAGTGCCTTTATACTTAGCATCGTCTGGATGCATGATCCAAATGTCAGTGTGGCAGGTCTTACCATTTGGATGAGAGCCTCGTACCATGAGCTCGTTGGTATCACAAGCCTCAAAGGAGTCCTCAGGGAGAGAGCTGCCAATCCCTTGGAGCCGGGCACCCACGTAGAACTCCTCCCCAATGGTTTCCCGCAGTAAGCCTATCATATTCTTATGCTTGCCGCCTTTGGCCTCGAAAGCAGCATTACATGTATCTTGGTTCATGCCTAGATCACCATCAACATCCCAAGGAACAACACCTTTATGATGCCGATACCATCCCAGAAGGGAACCGGACATGAGGTAAGCATCTACACCAAGCTTGTCGAGGGCGGCAATGGTCTTCCCTTCGATCCACACAACACAATCGAGGAAGTCTCCTTGCCCATCTTCGGCCAAGAAGTGATCGTAGTCTTCACACTGACTACCATCAATAAGTACTTCAGTACCGGCCTTCCAGTCATTCCTCGTCTCTTCCGATATCGTCTCAGGAGGACAGAGATAGATGTTCTTATTGTCAACATTGGAATAGAACATATCAGGAAATACCTTTATTTTGTCGGTTGCACCCAATAACGCGAACAAGACCAAGAATGCCGCGACGAAGAGAGGCATTGGAGATGATACACGTGAAACAACTATCAGCAAGAAGGGTCTACATGTGCCACAACAGCCATCAAACAGTCTTGTCTCACTAGCACGGAAAGATAATGTTGCCCCGACAGACCACCGATTCTGTATTTGTAACCCGCAACGAATCACCCTCCCAGATTGAAGTTTAGTAAAGTCGACTCTCCGTCTCATAGCTGTCGCACTGGCCGAGAAAAGTTCAATAGGGAATTGCCAGACACAGCTTACGCGAGCCTTTGGCAATGTGCTCTAGTGCTGCTAATTCGTCACCAATGCGGCGCCACGTCCGTACCTACTACACAATGAATACTACAGTAAAACTTCTCTGTTTCCTTCGCTTCGGATCGTAAATCTTGTGGTCACGACGGGGGAGCAAAATCTTTCTCGCTCGCCATAAAATGTGTGGTGCCACGGAGTGTGTGCACATTTTCAAGATCTTTGTTGCTCTTGGTGGGATAAATTGTTTCGGGTGGGGCGGCTATGCCACCACGCCGAGATATGCCTTAGTGCAATCGATTCTGGATGATCTATATAGTTGGCACGACCGAAGTACGTCCTATTTCGACGAATTGTGGGAATCAATTTCGGTGGTTGTGGAATCGATTGCGCTCCTGGGGCGGATATGCCACAAGGAGACTTGTTACGTTGTCAGGAGGCGTCCTGTCCTGTATTGCCGCTAAGATTCTCAGTCAGGTTCTCGGGATTGC